TATTTGAGAGAGAGAATGAGAGAGAGCATGAGAGGGAAGAGGGTCAGAGGGAGAAGCAGACTCCCCGCTGAGCAGGGAGCCCAATGCGGGACTCGATCCAGGGACTCCAGGATCATGACCTGAGCCGAAGGCAGTCGCTTAACCAACTGAGCCACCCAGGCGCCCGAACAAGAACACTTCTAAGCACACCAGGGAAGGAGACAAGAATTCTCATGGGAGGAACCATGGATGTGGTCTTTGCGTGAACGGCCTTGAATTTTAAGAGGTAGAGGGTGGTAGGGAGGGGAAGGGCATGAGGCCAAAAAAACAGCACAAACCAGGAGTCACCCAGAAGGGGGGGTGGGCATGCAGTGGGGCTGCCCAGAGAGATAATGGATTCAGTTTTGAGACTCCTAGAGCATCAGACCTCCAAGGGGGGGCTTTCTCCTCCCATAGTCGAGGAAGGTAGACTTCACACTCATGTACCTGTGTGTGTGTGTGTGTGAGTGTGTATGTACACATACAGGTGCACACTGCCAGAGCTGGTAAAGAACATGTGAGGGAGCAGCTCCTGACAGTGGCTCAGTCTGAACCCTACAGGCTGTTGGTTATCCTGGAAGCCATACTGTGGTCCACAGGTCGTAGTGGCCTAGGCAGGTTAATGACTAAGTCACCTCCCTGAACCCCACCATGTAGTTGCCATGTATGCCCCTCACATACGTGCCATATGTATATGACCTACCGCCCCATCTTTCTCCTGTGCAAAATGAAGTTTCTTGAAGATACAGATCTTGCCCCCCAAATTATTCTTTTCACAAAAGGAGTGATACAGGAGAGAACCAGGCAGATTTGTGGCCCTGCTCTCCCCTCTGGTTTTTCATGTCACTTTCATTTGCAACTGACATGTATCAGGTTACCCTGGAGATACCTAACTAGTTCAGGAAAGAGATATTTAAGCATGTTCCATCCTTTTTCCAGGTCTGGCTGTAAAAGGTGCCTCTTCTCCAGGGACATTTGGTTTGATGGGTGGGGCTGGGGGGCTCTAAGGGGTTGGCTGTGCCACCTTTCCTTAAAAATGTGTTCTTTCTCTGCTGAGAAATGTTATTTTTAGATGTCATTATTATTCTAAGTACAGATTGACAGGCCTCCCTGAGCTTGCCTGTGTCTGAGACAGGGATCTGTTACAGCTGCTTCCCCTTCTTTTTTCACAAAGAGCAAGCTGGGTAGAGCCCCTTTCCCCTGAGAGAGCTGGTTTTACTCCAAACCCCAGCCTGACCAGAGGGAATAAGCATGTTTCATCCACCCCCTCATGTCCTCACAAGTAGTGGGAGGGCCAGTTACCACTGGGAAGGAGTGGTGAGCCCCAGTGGTCCCTGTGGCCCCTCGCCCATGGTCAGCACCTTGGCCAGCAGGAGAGGCACACCCAAGATTTCCAAGAGGCTTTTCTTCCAGAGCTCAGAGCTGGCTCCACACATGCCTCTTCCTCTAAAGTCCTGTCGGCTGAAGAATTCTCATGCCTCTACCTATACTTTCCTATGAGAATTCCTGAAACAGTGTGGAAAGAGCATTCTGCCACTTGCTGGCTGTAGAGTCTTGAGCAGGCTGCTTCACCTTCGACCTAGCCTTTAGTCTTCTCATCTGTAAAATGAGAATAATAGTACCTCTAAGGGCAGTGAAGATTCAATGAGATCACACATGTGAAGAAAGCTCATGGTGCTGTGCTTGGTACCAGTAAGTGATCAGTAGGTGTTCATTTCTATCCCCAGATACTGCTGGATAGATAGTGACTCTGTGAAAGGCACACACAAAGTGGGGGGAGACAGTGTCCTTTAGCAGGTGACTTCTGGTCACTGGGCAATGTTTCTGGATTATATATTCACTCATTTAAGAACCACCCGTCAAGCACCAAGGGCCATGGCACCATATTGAGCACTGGGGACATTAACATGAATCGACATGGAGCCTGCCCTCAAGAAGACCCAAAAGCCCGTGCTGCTTTCTTCCATCAGGTTCCTGTTACAGGAGTCCATCTCCTCCCTGTGCTTTTACCTCTCCAGGTTAATCGACATTGCCCGTAAACTGGACAAGGCCGAGCGGGAGCCCCTGCTGATGTGTGCTTACTACTTCAAGAAGCTGGATAACCCTGGCTATGCTGCTGAAACCTACCTAAAGATTGGTGACCTGAAGTCCTTGGTTCAGCTGCATGTGGAGACCCAGCGCTGGGACGAGGTGAGGGTAGAGCATGCCTCATGGGCTAGGGGGCCCCATGTGAGCCCTGGACCACAGGGGGCTTTTTGGGGTTTGGATGGAGAGCAGCTGCCCTCATCATGAGAATGAACATTGGCCTGGCTATCAGGAGACTAACCCTCGAATTCTCTGAGCCAGCATGTCTTAGAGGCCCATTTATTGGTTCATTCATTCAGAAAATCTTTATGCACTGCTGGCTTCATGCTAGCCCTGTGATAGACACTGGGGATGTGAGAGTTAACAGGACAGCCCTGTGCCTGCTGTGGGTCTGAGCTGCTTGTGACCAGCACCACATGCTGATAGATCTCTGACATGGAGACACACCTGTGTAACATTCAAAACCTGCTAGGTGCCATTTGACAGAAAATGCCACCCATACTCTCCAGGTGGAGGCTGCCAGAACCATTTCAGGGGCAGCTCTTTCTCCTCCTTCTTCCCTCTAACCTGGACTCCTTCCTGAGAGGATCAGGGGCTGCACCCACGGTCCTCGCTCCACCCTACCCACCCATCCACCCACTGAGGTCTAGTTTACAGAGCCATAGCAAGACCTTTTCTGAATAAAGCTGTCTGACTCTTGTCTGCCCTCTGAGTGGCTCCATTTGGTGAGGTGACAAGGTTACTGATGAGAAGAGGTGGGGCCAGGGACAGAGGCAATAATGGCTTCTCAAGATAAATTTATTAGGAGATTTCTCAAGCAGCATAAATTAGAGCATCTTAGAAACACTCAGTCCTGACTGCATCAGGCAAACTTTCTCCCTGTTGCCACATACTGTCCCCCATGACTCATTTCCAGTTCTCCTAGCCTGACGGGTGGTTCTGGGGCTTAGACAAAGCAGTCATTGGGTCCCATACAGCACCAAGTCCATAGTCATCTTTGACAGCTAATAAGCAGTGACGATGATAATGTCAATTCTGTTTCCTTAGGTGTCATCTGCAATTAAAAGAAATCTGTTTGCAGCGCTACAGGAGCCCACGCAAACCCTCAAAATAAAATGTTTCCGATTCTGTGCTGCTTCTGTGGTCCAGAAACAGACTGTGTTGTTATTGAATCCAGTCACTTGCATATTGCTGTTAATTGTCTTTTGTTTTCAAAGAGCTGATTTGTTTTTGCGTTTCTGGGGGTGGTGGTAGGGGGAGGCACTCTCCCCCTCTGAGTTGTCAGGCTGGCAAAATATGACACATCCCTAATGGATTCAGCCAAGTGCCATGTTTTCATGGGGGCTGTGAGGGCTGCTTTATTAAGAATGCATTTGCTCCTTCCTCCAGGCCTTTGCTTTGGGTGAGAAGCATCCCGAATTTAAGGATGACATCTATGTGCCCTACGCTCAGTGGCTAGCAGAGAATGATCGTTTTGAGGAAGCCCAGAAAGGTAGGCCACACAGACTGACACCTTGCAGAAGGAGCAGGAGATGGTACTGCCAAGACCCACATTTCAGAAAGGCTGTCAAGCCCCTCCCATCACGGGTCTGAGGATGGACGACTTCACCCTGGGGAATGTGACGTGTTTCCTGGTGAAGACTGGGGAGCAGTGGAAAGAACATGGGCTTTGGAGTTGGACACACCTGGGTCCATCACTCACATGCCTCCGGACCTCAGGCAGGTCCTGTCTCTTCTCTGAGCAAAGCACTGTGCACTCAAAGTTGCTTCCCACTTAATCCTCACAGTAGCCCTATGATGTCGGTACTGTTTTCTAGTGAGAAAGCTGAGGTTGGAGGAGGTAAAGGGATTTATTTGCCTGAAGTTCCACAGCAAGGAAGTGGCAGAGACAGAATCTGGGCCAGGCTGGGGTGGGGACAAAATATGAGAACTCCCACAGTGTGTCCGGCATGGTCTCACCTGCCTCTTTCCTCTACGGCAAACAGTAACTTGGCTCAGATAAACAGGGTGTCCTCTGCTCCTTGGCATTTCCACTGGTAAAGTGGGCTGCACCCCACATATGGCGGTATCCGAGATAGCAAAAGGAAGCATAGAGCTTTTACCGGTAATAGCAATTTTAAAATGTGACTGCCTTCTCTGTGTCAGGCACCGGCTGGGCACTTAACTACATAACCCTGAACTTCGCCAGCAGCCCTGCAGAGACGCCGAGGCTAACTGTGCCCCGCAAAGTCACAAAGCCAGAGGGAGTGGCAGAGCGAGGTTTGGACGAGATCTGTCCGCCTGGGAACCTGATTCTTGTGACTAGGTCTTGCTGCCTCCTTAGGAAGTCTTCTAACTGAAGCTGGGTGTGTCTATTCCATAGCATCTCATTTACACTTCTATATGGTAACAGTTGCCACCTCCGGACACATTGCGGAACAAATGTCTCCCTGTTGGAGCTCCTCAGCTAAAAGCCCCCATTGAAAGACAGCATGTTCTCTTCTGCTTTAGCATTTCCAGAGCACCCAGTTGCTGAAGTATGTGCATGTTTGGGCAAAACACATCAACCTATCCATCTGTCTGTGTCTGCCCTTCCAAGAATCCATCGCCATAGTAACTTGGTACTCAGACAAGAGATTGGAGATGAGACTGGAAAAAAGGCCAGACCTTTTCCTTCTCTAAAGCAGAGGATTGGGATCATCTGAGTGCCCACATGTGAGCAAGTGTCACAGCTAGAAGTGCCTCCCTGGCAGCCCCCAACTTCCTGAGGGTCTGGCCACATAGTTAAGAGTCAGGAAATTTCTGTTAAATGGATATAGGGATTATTGAGAGATTTTTTTGCATGTTTGCACAAACGTTTGGTTGCTAGAGCTGGGAGCCATATTTTTCAAGGTTGTCATTAAAAAGCACACAGTTGAAGACTGATGGGGGACTTAAGTGGGGATAGGTTCTGTAACCTTGGGTATGCCACCTTACCTACACCTTCGTAAGTCTGTTGTGACCATCCAACAAGGAATCAGCAACAAAAATACTTCGTGAGCCACCAAACCTGTTCAAGTGTCAGGTGCTACAAGTGTCACCCCAGGTGTCACAAAGCCTTGTCCTGGAACGGGGTGAGGGTAAGACCTCACTGGTGAGGGGCAGCAGTGCCATCCTCAGACTTCGCCCTGCAATTTGGCCCCAAGGGTTTTCTTTCTGCCATGCTTTTCTGAAGTCAGTTGCCTTTTCCCAGCCAGAAAGGAATATATCTCACTGTACTTTTTTCAGGATGTAGCCTCAGTTATTTATAGCCTTCGGCCTGAGAGGCGCATCCCAGCAACGACGTGCTGCAGATGCTCCCAATGAGTGTCCTACTTCTACAGCAGCCCCTTGCAAGCCCTGCAGAATTCCATCCCACTCCCCAAATTGTGTGTGTTTTTGTGCCCCTCCAGCGTTCCACAAGGCTGGGCGGCAGCGGGAAGCGGTCAGGGTGCTGGAGCAGCTCACACACAATGCCGTGGTCGAGAGCAGATTTAATGACGCTGCCTATTATTACTGGATGCTGTCCATGCAGTGCCTTGATATAGCTCAAGGTGAGTAAACAGCAGCCAGGCCACTTGTTTTCCCCAGCCCTGCTCTGGCACCAAGATAAACATCGAAGGAGCTGGAACGTTTTAATTAAAGCCCTGGGCTTGTTTATTGGGTGTATTGTCCATAACCCTGTCTTGCAGCAGCATAATCTGGTGTGTCATCTTTTTCCAGTTTGCCCATAAGTTTAATGATGGTATGAGGGCTGTCCTGGGGTTATGGTTGGGAGGTCCTGCCCTGTGTTGCTAATTCAGAACATATCTCTCCCCTGCTACCTGGGAGCCTATAACTGGACCCAGGTGAGCACTTTTAAAAAAAATTTTAATTAAATGGAAAGATGAAAAAGAGATCACTTTACAATAACACACTCCAGATTCTCACTCATTCCAGGCAGGAAAATAGTTTCATTGTTGCTTTCTTGAGACTTCCCATGATGCACTGAGGGAGTTCTGGAAGCGGAGGGGACAGGGAGACATTCTTCACTGGACTAAGGCCAGCATGCTGGAGTGGGAAAAACACTGGAATTGGAGGCAGCTAGGTGACTTGTAACAAGTCACAATTTCTTCCTAAACTCTACCTCCCCATCTGTGGCATGGGGGTAATCCTATCCTGCTTCCTTCATAAGGCTGCTGTGAGCCTCACAGAAGCTGTGGTTATAGTTTGGAAACTGTTAGGTCCAGGCGTTAGGTGGCATGTTTTTGTTCTGGCCAGTGGTCTGTGCTTTGTATAAGGCATGGCACAGAGGGAAGAGGCTGGAGGTGAGATGAATAAAGCTGACATCTGCTCGTCCTCCACGCCAGGCTCCTCTGGTATGTCCGGGTGCCAGTGATCACCCTCTTCATGCTGGCACTCCCCAGTGGAATGACCTGGTAGGCTATAGTGTCAGATCTGGGAGATGGGTGAGAAATGTTCTCAGACTTTGCATGGCCACATGCTGTGCCTAGCTGAGACTTTCCCGGTCTTGGGGAGGTTCCAGCTCCTAAGCAGCACCTTTCCCATCATTGCATCTCTTTGTCAGTCTCCCTGGCACAGGTCTGATACTGGGGGAGAGTGGACACTGGCAGTGTTGTCATTGCCTCACCCTTCCTTGTAGATGTGGCTTGACACATCTTCCCCCTCCCCCCCTCCCCCCTCCCACTGCACCCCTCAGACCCTGCCCAGAAGGACGCGATGCTTGACAAGTTCCGCCACTTCCAGCACTTGGCCGAGCTATACCACGGCTACCATGCCATTCAGCGGTACACGGTAAGGTGGCCAGGAGATGGGGGCCTGGTGGGGGTGCTGCCTACTGAACCAGGGGCCCTGGGCACGTCTTACAGAGCAGCAGACATCTGGATGGAAAGTAAACCCACCGGACAGGATGATTTGCCAAGAAATTCTGGTCTCCTCCTGGGAGACAAAGTTTGGCACTTTTTTTTTTTTTTAAGATTTTATTTTATTTATTTATTTGAGAGAGAGAGAGGTTGAGAGTGCACGAGAGGGGGTTTAGAGGGAGAAGCAGACTCCTCACTGAGCTGGGAGCCCAACATGGAACTTGATCCCGGGACTCCAGGATCATGACCTGATCCGAAGGCAGTCGTTCAACCAACTGAGCCACCCAGGCACCCCAAAGTTGGAACTTTGATTTTACTCAATTAGCTACCTTTTTGACCTGTTTGTTGCAAGCTGTGGGCTTCTGAATTAGTGAGCCAGAGCTAGAATGGGCCTTTCTAGTTGCCGGCTTTATGTCTGTAAAACTCAAGGCAGACTCCAGGTTATCTCTAAAATGATCAGGGGTGGGGGCACCTGGGTGGCTCAGTCGGTTAAGCGTCTGCCTTGGGCTCAGGTCATGATTCCCAGAGTCTAGGGATCGAACCCAGCGTCGGGCTCCCTGCTCAGCGGGGAGCCTGCTTCTCCCTCTCCCTCTGCTCATCCCCCAGGCTTGTGCTCTCTCTCTCAAATGAATAAACAAAATCTTTTTTTAAAAAATAGCAAAATTAAAATAAAATGATCAAGGGTGGATGTTCCACTCTAGATGGGTGAAGGCCCAGCTCTAACCAAAGGCCTGAGATCTCTCCTTGGCCCTGCCACTGAATTGTGGGCTTGATTTCCAGAGACCCAAATAGTTTTTTTAGTCACTTCCTGATTCTTTTAAGCCATTTTAAATCTATCTCCTGACAATGGGGAACAGGTGGTAGGCTGTTATCAGCCTCCTCATTTTGTGTATCCTCAATCACTCAACAAATGTTGATTAAGTGCCTACAGGGTGAGCTTATCCTGTGCTGATAAGCTAGGAGGGTAATACCAATAACCAACCTTTATTGAGCACTTACTATTTACCAGGCAATGTGCTGAAGGCTTTATTGTATCAATTTATTTAATCCTTTCAATCATGCTGTGAGATAAGTACTGTTACCCCCATTTTACAGATGAGGAAACTGAGGTGCTAAACACAGAGATCCCACAACTAGTAAGTAGCAGCCAGGACTGGAACCCAGACAGGCTGGCTCCAGAGCCTGTGCTTAGCCTCTGATCCCCCACACCCTCTAACTTGGAGAAGGCAGACCACTGGCCTCACACCCCAGCTCCACTGTGTGACCTTGGCAAGTTGTTCACTTGCCTCTGTGCTTCAGCTTCCTTCTCTTAAAGTGGGGGTGAGAGTAGTACCTACTTGCTGGGGTTGTGAAGATTAAATGAGTTAATATTGGAAAAGCACTTGGCACAGATGAGTGTCAGCTGTTCCTCCTGCCCTGTTTGGAGGCTTCCAACCAGTTTTCCATAGGCCGAGCATTTTACAATTCTTTGACCATCTCATGGGCCCTACCTTCCACACTGGGCACCTCTTTCCCCCACATTTGTGCTGAGCACTCGGCACATTCTTTGTCTCTGAGGAAAGTCCGGCAAGAAAGGCTCCTCTGCTGGGCTCTGCCTGGGCCAGCTGTCAGCCCTTCATCTCATCTCTTCCCCACACTACGGTCAGTGGTTTCAAGGGAACTTATCTTCCTTTACAGTCTTTTCAGGGCCCCTCATTTCTATCAGGTGCTCACCTGGAAAGAAGCCACCTCAAAAAAGACCCCAAACTCAACTTCAGCTGGAAAGTCAGGGCCTCAGCTCAGTGTCAATTTACCTGAGCCACTTTGAGCTGGGCTTTTTGTCTCTCTTCTGTAACAACTGAGCTCTGCTCCAGGACCTACATGGCAGCTGTGAGTTTGTAGCAGCTTCACACCAGCTGGGGTATCTGGCTGTTCATCCCAGCTGAGACTTCATTGGGCCATTCCTTCATTCAACAAATCCCTCCTGGGTGTCAGGCCCTCTCCTGAGGCCTTGGGACATAGTGGTGAGCAAGATGTTATCCCTGCCCCTGAAGAGAGTTCATAGTCTCTGAACACGCAGGTGTAGCCCAGTTGTCTTAAGGGAAAAACTAAGAGGACCAAAAGGACTTCCTGGAGGAAGTGAACCTAAGCAAAGAGGAGGGAGATTAGTGAGGAGGGAGATTAGTAAGACGAGGAGAAGAAACGGCATTCCTGGCAGAGGTCACAGCATGTGCAGAGGCCTGGAGGTGGGTGATACTTCAGCATTTGGCATCAGGGCCCAGCAGAGCAGCTCTGAGTCAGAGCAGACTGCAAAGGGAAGCACCAGACCTTTCCTGAGATAATGGCTTCTTTCCCAGAGGAGAGGTGCTAATTCTGAGGACACAACCCCCCCCACCCCA